GCCTGGCTGCTTTGTTCTCCCGCCGAGGAGACCGGTGAGTCCAGATGGGACTGGCCCGTTGGGCAGTCCTACTTCGCGAGCGTCTAGGAGGAGGAAGAGGAGGAGGAGGAGGAGGAGGAGGAGGAGGGAGGAGGAGTGGAGCATCTGCGCGCCGCTGTCTGCCGTCGGGCCGGCGCCCGCAGATGTGCTGCCCGGGTGCGCAGTTGGAGCTGCGCTCGGCGCGTCGGCCTTCGACGGTCCAGTCGGGCGTGTCCCTCCACAGGGGGAATGGTCGAGAATGGCCACGAAGTGGTGTGGGGACGCATTCTCGATCAGTTTTCGAACACGGCTTCAGCACTTCTGGGGGATGTCTCATTTTTCGTCCCAGATCCGCCTGTAAGGGGGACATTCCCGACCCAATTCGACGGCGCGTCGCCGCAGCTGCCACGCAGGTACAGTCGGGGCGCTGAAGAAGGAACCCTTTTCGTTGGGGAGGGGCTCGGTGTTCCTTAGTTGTTTCGCAGCTTGCCTTGGATTTGCTTTAGGTTTTCGATGCGAAATCGAAGTTCAACTTATGGAAAATAGGGGCCTCGTTCCTTATTTAGGGTTCCTTAGGTCAACGCCCCGACTGTAGTCCCGGGTTTCATTCGACGAGGTGCGCCCTCGTCGAGGGAAGAGGTCTGCCGGCGTGTCTTCGCGATGGGGGCGCCGGTGGACGGACGGGGGGCGCGGCGAGAAGAGAGTGGTCGTCGGTTGTTGTGGTTGCGAGTTCTTGCACAGGCAGCCCGCACAGGAAGGATAGGCATCCCTCCCAAGGGTACCCTTGCATCCCTGCCTCCTGGATCCGTCCTTGGACACTTTCACTGGCCGCGCCCCGCTCGAAACGCTCCGAAATGGGCGTCCGAGGCCCTTGCATCCTTATCGCGCATTCTTACTATCCGTGTTGGCTGTACGTGTTTGATGTGCGTCGTCCTTTCCCCCATGTGCAGGCAGGAGTTGTGCTTTTCCCACAGCCTCACTTGCAGCGTTGTTGGCACCTTTCCGTCGCCAGTGCATGGCACCTGGGCAGTTGAGAACATGATGTTTCTGGTATCCTCACAACTCTGGAGCCCAGGGCTCTCTAGAAGCGCGTCTCAAGAATGGCCCTCCACACATGCTCAGATGCCAACTCATTGGACCGAGGTTATAGAGAGATCCCGTCGCAGGCACCCATGGTGGCGATGCTCTTTCTCTATCGTTCTCTCTCTCTCTCCCTCTCCCTCTATCTCTGTTGTGCTCTCTCTCTCTCTCTCCCTCTCTCTCTCTCTCTCTCCCAATCCCAGTCCCTTCACGAACACCGCCAGGTACGATATTGCATTCCATGTCCCCCCCTCCGCCCTTCCTCTTAAACCCCCTCCCAATCCCCGTCTTCTTCTCGCATTGCCCCTCCCCTTCCCCTTCCCTCCCGCGCGCGGCGAGCTGCGTTTTCCTTTTTGAAAGCCGGGCATGATGATTGTTGGGAGAGAGGCCGCGGGCCCAGGCACTCCTCCTCTTCCGCCTCCTCCTCCTCCTCCTCCTCGCCCTCCTCCTCATCCTCCCCCGCCTCGTCGTCCTCCTCCTCCTCCTCCTCCTCTTCCTCTTCATCTTTCTCCTCCTCATCCTCCCCCGCCTCCTCGTCCTCGTCCTCCTCCTCGTCGTCGTCGTCCTCCTCCTCCTCCTCCTCTGCTTTCTCTCCTCCTCGTCCTCTTCCTTCTCCTCCTGTTCCTCCTCCTGGCGTTGCAGCCAACGGGGACGATGTTCGCGGGCGGCATGTGAGCGTCGAGCACCGAAGCAGATCAATCGAGCGGTCGGGGGGCGGGCGCGCGGCAGGGGCCCGCCTCCGAGGAGAGGAACTCCTGACCTGCCTCCACTGCGGGCGCGGGCGGGCCGGAGGTGCGGACGCCTCGCGGGCAGGGGCCGCCGCCGACTGTCCGTCCTGCCCTGCAGTGGCGACGGGAGGCGCGCGCGCGCGCTCGCAACGCACAGGTCGGATGAAGGGCGGCCATGTCCCTGCCTTCCACGGCTGAGCCTCATCCGACGGAATCTCGACCGAATACACCCCATGTGTGTGTGCAGCACGGCAAGCATCGAGCGGGGTAGAGAAGCTAGCTACGCCTTCCTCTACGGCCTGCGGGCAGCTGTAAGGATCAGTCGAGGTCCCTGCTCTTAAACAGAATTGGTATACATGCGAAGCAAGGAATGCACACAGCCTGTCTGGATACTGCTTGGCAGGGGCGGTCATAAACGTACCGTCTGTGGCACGGCCGATCAACACGCTGTGACTACCAGGAGGATGCGTGCATCTGCCGTGCCTGGCAAGCTGATGGGTGCAGGCAACTGCTCGGGCACTGCATACTGCGCAACTAGCTCTGGTGTGGGCGGAGGGAAAGCTGGCCCATAGACGGGGTAAACTGGCACCTCGGCTTTGGCGTCAGACCTCTGGCCTTGAAACGCCGCGTCTCAGCCTGCCCCGCACTGATGACCGTTTCTCTTTCGTCGGCTTCCAGCGATGACGTCTATGAGACCCAGCCTGCTAAGCACCACCTGCTTCCCCTTCTCAAGTACTTGAGCAGACGAGCACGCGCAGTGAAACAGTGCAAGCAGACATGACAAGTCCCTCCCCGAGCATGCCTGGCTGCGTGATCTTGCTCCGGATGGCCCCTTACGCGACGAAGTCGCCAATTGCCCTTCGATCCCCATAATGCCCCACAGCCCCGGCACGGGTGCCCACTTTCCTTGGGGGGGGGGCGTGGCGCAGTGGGGGGGGGGGCGGCTCAATACCGCTCGCAGTACGCACATCGAAAATCCTCCGCCTCCAGCTAGGTAGTTTCAACTGGTCCCTACTCCGGTGAGTGCAAGTGGCGACAGCCTTTCGGATAGCACGGGCCCACTGGTTGGGGGCATCACGGGCGATCCCGAACCACTTTCCGAAAGGGGCCCCTTCGGTCCTGTCCCCGGGGCCAGCATGGGCCTCTAGCCACCCAGGGCCATCGCGCACCAGAGCACGCCAGCCATCCTCATTGTTCGAAATGGCGTCAAGAAAGACACGCAGCTCGGGAAGGGGCCTGCGAGAGAGCGCGAGAAAGGCAACGGAGGCGGAGAATGCGAAGCACTACCTCGACATCGAATTGCTGCGCCTCCAGCAGCACGTCGTCCGCGCGCCTGCGTGCACCCTCATGTTAAGCCCTCCAGGCGGCCTCGCTGGTGGCTTCTCGGTAAGGCTTCAAAAATTGTGCCCTTACTCTCTCTCTCTCGATGTCCATAGCTCCGAGCGGGCCCCGCGCGCCGCCGCGCAACGAAAGCTCGGTGGAACACAGGGGGTAACAAAACTTCAGCTTGGTCTCAGTTTCAACCCCGCGCATTTTGATAACCGAGCGTTTAGCGGCCCAAGGCCCTCATTCTGGGAAACAGCTCGAGCATGGATCTCTGGGCCCTGCAAGCCCTCCACGTGAAACGCACTTCCTACAGGCTCATGCATACTACATATTTCTACAGTCGGGGATGGATAGACCTCCTACCCTGACACGTCGATCAAGGAACTGGCCGTTTTCGGCTCGCGAGAGGGCGTCGCGGCCGTCATTTTGCAGGTCCAGGTCCGTCGGCTGTGGTCCCAGACCGTTTTCACTAAGGGGAGGTCTACTAAAGGGAGGTTTGTCCACCGCCGATACAGAGACTCCACATCTGCCATCCTCAAAGACCCGCCCCCTTCGGCAGACCACTCCTGCCCGGCGGTCTCGCCCCTCCGTTCGCCTGGGGCTAGAGTCGACTACACGTAAGAGTGACCCTTCGCCAGAGTGACCTTTGGTGCGGGCCCATGGGGTCCCCGATCGCCGAACGCGAGGCGGCAGCGGCGTCTTGCGCGCTTGTGTTTGGCCCCCCCGCGGCCCCCAAAAAGCCGCACACCAAAGGTCACTCTCACCCAGGGTCACTCTTACGTGTAGCCGATAGGGGAAAGAGGGCAAGTCCGTTCCAGGAGCGTCCCGGAAAGCGCTCCCGCGGAGCGTTTTTTCCGGAACGTTCTGGGGAGGCCGCCCGCCGCGCCCGCGACATCCTCCTCGAGATTTATGTCGGGCGTGTCCCCCTACAGGGGGATTTTCGACGAAGGATAAAAAAATACCCCCAAAAGAGTCCAAAAATAGTGTGGGGACTATTGTTTGAATGTTTGTTAACCTGCTCGGGGTATTTTGGAGGTGTTTTTCTTTCTGCTCGTCGAAAATCCCCCTGTAGGGGGGCACGCCCAACATAACTCGAGATCTCAGAGAATGAATCCTCGCCCGATGTCACCCTCGTCCGGGCCTCGCCTGACCTTGCCCTTCCCCCCGCGCTAGGCTCGTGCCGCGTCGACCAGCGGCGGCACCGCCGACGGCGCTCCGCTCCGAGCGCCGCGGGCGACCCAGGATGGCTCGAGGCGGAACGATCTTTGGACGTTTCGGAAGCGGCCGATCGTTCCAGGTCGAACGATGCACGCGGTGTCGGAAACCAGCGCCGGGGTCGTCACGACACGAACTTGCCGTACCCGCCTTGTGCGCCCCGCCAGACTCGAGTCGAGTGCCACGCGCGTGGGCCGCAGCCTCCCCGCGGTGCCCGTGGCCCCTCCCCCCCAGAGAGGCCTGCGGGGGAGGGGGAGGAGGAGGAGGAGGAGGAGGAGGAGGAGGAGGAGGAGGACGAGGAGGAGGAGGAGGAGGAGGGGGGAGGAGGAGGAGGAGGAGGAGGAGGAGGAGGAGGAGGAGGAGGAGGAGCAGGAGGAGGAGGAGGAGGAGGAGGAGGAGGTGGAGGAGGAGGAGGACGAGGAGGAGGGAGGACGAGGACGAGGAGGACGAGGTGAACGAGGAGGAGGAGGACGAGGAGGGGCGGGGAGGAGGAGGAGGAGGTGGAGGAGGAGGAGGAGGAGGAAGAGGAGGAGGAGGAGGAGGGAGGAAGGAGGAGGAAGGAGGAGGAGGAGGAGGAGGAGGAAGGAGGAGGAAGGAGGAGGAGGAGGAGGAGGACGAGGAGGATGGAGGTGCGGGGGAGGAGGGGCCAGGGCGAGCCCAGGCCCTCGACGCCGACGACATCGGGATGACGCCGCTCATGTTCGCCGCCCAGGCCGGCTCGGAGGCCCAGGGGAGCGGAGGGGTCGCGCGGGTTGTGCGGCTGGACCGAGGTATGATTCAGTCGGGCGCGTCCTTCCTCAGGAGGATAATTCAAAAACAGGCCACCAATAATATGGGGGCGATATGCTTATTATGCTTGGGCTAGTTTGGGGTATCATGTTAGCTATGTGTATATATATGTATATATGTAACACGCTTGTAGGGGAATATGCCCGACCTAAAGGTATGAGATCGAGGTCGGTTCGGGGAGGATGCGCTACTGTTGTTCGTGTTTGTTGGGCGTTCGTCACTCCTGAGCCGCTCGCTCCGTCCGCCCCTCTTTGGGCCGCGCCCTCCACCTGCTCCTTCCTAGCATGGTGGCACAATTCGCTCGAACGGCATCCCCGTTTAGGCATCCCATCGCCAGCGCAGACGTCCCCCGCCTAGCCGCCTACGCAAAAAGTTAGGATTTTATTGTGCATCCTGGGAGAGGACATCCTCGAGTGATCTTGTGGGTCGGGGTGTTTGGGCCAGCGGAGGGCATCATGTCCTTGCAGGATGTCGGTCTGTCCTGGGTCACGCCGCACTGGAGCTTTCAATCTGCATTCCGCGCCGCTGCAGAGCACGGAATTCCGACTTGTCCGCTCTGTGCCGTGATGTGTGGGATTCTGGTGGCTCTGCTTGTGGCCTAGCTGCGTGCCTGGGGGGGGGACCTGAATGGGGGGGATTGGGGAGGGGGCCCAATTGCTGGGGCACTGTGGTGCCCCTTTCGGGAGCCAGCTGGGGCCCAAAAAGGGGGCCCCAAAGGGCATCTTTCGGGCCCAGCTCTTCACCCTCCACCTAGGTGACCCCTTTTTTTTCAATCCTCTCGACCAGAGTAGCGGAGGAGGAAGAGAAGGAGGAGGAGGAGGAGGGCAATCTTAAAGGAGGAAGGTATAATGAGCACCTAGGTGGCCCCCCATTACCACCCGCCCGAGAAGGGGGGCCTGGAGCGGGGACCCAGGCTGGCGCGCAGGAGCCCGCAGGATCCTGCAGGATTTTGCAAGGCCTGGCTGATCCAGACTTGAATTGGCCAGTTACCGAGGAAGGTTTTCAATGATGGGGCTCCTCCCCTCTACACCTCCAGGCGGGCACTAAGACTCGTCCTCCCCCTCCTCGTCAGCGGACGAGAGGAAAACCCAGCAGTGGCCGCCGCGGGAGACGAAGCATTTTCCCTAGATCGTTCTCGGCTCAGGTCCCCTAATAAGCCCGCGCAAGAAATCATGAGTTTCCAGTGCAAAAAGGGGGATCTGAATAAAAATCCATGTGGGCTAGATCCTCGAGCGGAGGGGGCGGGTTCGGCCCTCCAGGCTCCCCAAGCAGGGGGGCCTGGAGCTCAGAGGAGAAAGAGGCCCGCCTCCTCCTCCTCCTCCTCCTCCTCCTCTTCCTCCTCCTCTTCTAGTAGTAGTAGTAGTAGTAGTAGTAGTAGTAGTAGTAGTAGTAGTAGTAGTAGTAGTAGTAGTAGTAGTAGTAGTAGTAGTAGTAGTAGTAGTAGTAGTAGTAGTAGTAGTAGTAGTAGTAGTAGTAGTAGTAGTAGGTAGTAGTAGTAGTAGTAGTAGTAGGGTAGTAGTAGTAGTAGTAGTAGTAGTAGTAGTAGTAGTAGTAGTAGTAGTAGTAGTAGTAGTAGTAGTAGTAGTAGTAGTAGTAGTAGTAGTAGTAGTAGTAGTAGTAGTAGTAGTAGTAGTAGTAGTAGTAGTAGTAGTTAGTAGTAGTAGTAGTCGTAGTAGTAGTAGTAGTAGTAGTAGTAGTAGTAGTAGTAGTAGTAGTAGTAGTAGTAGTAGTAGTCGTAGTAGTAGTAGTAGTAGTAGTAGTAGTAGTAGTAGTAGTAGTAGTAGTAGTAGTAGTAGTAGAGTAGTAGTAGTATTAGTAGTAGTAGGTAGTAGTAGTAGTAGTAGTAGTAGTAGTAGTAGTAGTAGTAGTAGTAGTAGTAGTAGTAGTAGTAGTAGTAGTAGTAGTAGTAGTAGTAGTAGTAGTAGTAGTAGTAGTAGTAGTAGTAGTAGTAGTAGTAGTAGTAGTAGTAGTAGTAGTAGTAGTAGTAGTAGTAGTAGTAGTAGTAGTAGTAGTAGTAGTAGTAGTAGTAGTAGTAGTAGTAGTAGTGTAGTAGTAGTAGTAGTAGTAGTAGTAGTAGTAGTAGTAGTAGTAGTAGTAGTTAGTAGTAGTAGTCGTAGTAGTAGTCGTCGTAGTCGTAGTCGTAGTCGTAGTCGTAGCAGTAGTCGTAGTCGTAGGTAGTCGTAGTAGTTAGTTAGTAGTAGTAGTAGTAGTAGTAGTAGTAGTAGTAGTAGTAGTTAGTAGTAGTAGTAGTATTAGTAGGAGTAGTAGTAGTAGTAGAGTAGTCGTAGTAGTATCGTAGTAGTAGTAGTAGTAGTAGAGTAGGTAGTAGGTAGTAGTAGTAGTA